AAAAAAGTAAATCAGAGCTAAAAAAGTGCAAAAACGCAGGCAAATTTGTCTGCGTTGGTCTACATATTAAGGGATAACGATAATATCAATATATAATATAAAAAAAAAATGCCGTTGACCTGCTAGGTTACGAGATCAGATCAGATTTTAAACAGCGATGTAACTAATTTTGGTGGTCATGCTAGGGGGGTTAAACCAGTGCCACCAACACCTGTGCCATTATGCCACCAACCTGTACCAAAACCCAAGCCATTAATGGTTCAATTTGTATGGGCATATGGCCCATTACAGGCCAAAAATCTGTGCCAATCCAAGCCTCCTATATACCAAATACGGGTTTAATCTGTGCCACCTAAACCCATGCCTTTACATCACCAACCCATACCTTTATAATATATTTTTCTTATAGGGAAGTCAAAGCAAAATACAAATTTTTTGTTAGTTGTTTTTAATTATTAAAAATTGCAAAGTATCTTATGTACATTACATTATAAAAATTTAGGTCGCTTATTAAAGAGATTTTGGTAGCATTATATTGAAAAAATATTAATATTAATTCAGAAATAATTAATATATGCAATACTCAAAGTATGATAGGTAGTAATGGGTTTTTACAAAAATCTCACACGTAATCCACGCGGGATTCGTGGGATTGTCTACTGAAATTATGTAAAATTTGGCCGGAATTATGGTAGTGGCCCGAATTATCTCATGCATCCCATGCGGGATCCTGCGTGATGCTCATCACTAATGATAGGTTTTATTATTAAATATGCATATGAGTATAAAAATTTAGCTGCCCGATACAATAGTACCGGAGCAGCATTTGTCTCAAATCGTTCACGGGATATTTTTAGTCATATAATGTATTATTGAGATCAGTAATTTATTGTTTGATCTATTGAGTATGTTTTTATTGATTTATTATTAATTAACTTTTGTATGATTTTTAGTGACATAGTGACGTAATAATTTCAATTAGTAATTGTTAGTAGTATTTAGAGGAACAGAATTTTTTGTCAGAAAGACTAGTTTCTGTTTTTTCTGCTAACCTGACTTTGTCTGGTTTTTTCGTACATATTTACTATTGTCATTTTTTTTTACCATTGCTGTTTTTTCAAATAATAAACAAAACATAATAAACAAACATACTGATTTTTAACTCTGATCTGTCATGTAATTGCTGTTTCCTGTTTTCTGTATTTCCCTTATCTAAATAAATACAAAAAAAAAAAAAAAAAAAGTAAATAAAAATATAGTGAATAACAGTATAAAATGTTGACTGGTAATAAGAAGTCAGAACTGGTCGTTGTGTCAAGTAACACTGAGTTGGCTCAAACGAGTTTGGAAACAAGCCTTCAACAGTTATCGGTAGAAACACTGAGGTTTATTTACCGAGATATAGGCCTTTCAGAACTGGGGCCGAAGCAAGAAATTGCCTCCAGGTTAGTGAAGAAATGTAAGACCCGGGTAGGTTTGAAAGATCTCGTAAACGAGTCTGGTACAACTGAAAAAGAAAAGGTAGCACAACCTTAGCATATGGAGAGTGATATGTCAATGGACAATTTTGAAGCTCTATGTTGGGCTGGAGACAAGAGTCAGCAGCTAGCTGCTATAAATAGCGCAGCAGAAGCTTATAGTAAACTTGCAGCTTCTGGGCAAAATTTTATGCCTAGTTATGCTTGGGAAAGGAACTACGGGGCTGAGCTGGGCCTACCTTCATTGAACGACATTGAGCGTGGGGGTCTCTGAATGAAGTGTAAATTGTCGAAGCCTCATAACTAATGGGAGTACAATGAGTGATGCAGAACAGGAGCGCTAGTGGATAAAGCCTTGGTGTTGAGAAATATGGAGTATATATGTTTAGCAAGGCAGGTGATTTTGGAAAGAGCCTATGTCGTTAGGGTAGCTGATGAGGATGGTTGGAATGTAGCATTAAAAATAAGATTGGTGAAATCTTGGATCCAATGTTAGAACTCTTAAGGAAAAAGCAGAAAAGTGCCAGGTTTGCCACATAGTGTTTTGTAAGGCCTAAGAAAGCTAGATTGATGCCATATTCACATTACAATCAGCTCCAGGCCCAGGTTCCATTTTTTTAAAGAAATAGCATTTCCCCAGTGCAAGTTCCGCATTTTCAGCCTTATGTACAACAGACAGGGCTGCAACAGCATTTCTTGGGGCAACAATTGGGACCACAGGGCCAGTTCAGAGCTTTTCCAGCTCAGGCTTTTCAACCTATAGCTCAAGTTGGTCAACCTATTTTATAGCATGCACAACAGTTCGGACCTGGAGCGGGCATATCATTTCTGGTGCAGTATCAGGAGTATAGGTCAATGGCGCCATGGTCGAGAAGATTTGATAAAAGTAAGAGCTTTAAAGAGAAGGATATGGTTTGTTATATTGTGAAGGCAAGGGCCATTTCGCAAACGAGTATAGCTCGAAGAGAAACTTTAGTTTGCCCTTTTGTGGGGATAGAGCCCATCCTGGAGGAAGTTGACTACACTCAGAGGTTTCTGGAAAAAGGATGATAGATACGGAGGTTCAGATGGTGGGAAAAATTCACAGTCAAGATATAGTAAAGTACTGGGAAGAGGTTATAAGGCTGTCACAACTGGTGTTGAAGTGGGTGAAGGAAGGGATTCCTTTGTTTTCAAGAAACCTGGTTCATTTAACAGAAGAACCGGACCCAAGGCTGTATCAGTTTTTGCAGGAAGAGGAGATTTGGTTAGTGAAGGAATTAAAGCATTTAGAACTATCAGGAGCTATAGTGAGGGTTTCGGAGGGTTGTTCCTGCTTGAAAAATTTTCTAGAAGTAAGCTCAGTCTTTCTGGTCCTAAAACAAGGACCCAAGAAGTTTCGCTTAATAATCGACTTGAGAAGGCTAAACAAAACTCTTCCGCAAAAGCACTTTCACTTCGAGGGTCTAGGAGATTTGCTGCGAACGATTGGTTGGGAATAGTAGTTGATATTGTTAAACCTAAAGGAAGGATATCATTACGTTCTAATAGATGTCAAAGCCTAGAGGCTTTTGGAATTTATGGTAAAAGGAATTTGATACTAGTACAGGGCTCTACCCTTTGGGCTAAGTCAGGCACCGTGGGTTTTTTCAAAAATAATAATGGCCGTGATTGGCAAGTGGCGGGCCAAAGAAATCTTTTGCAGGTACCACTTGGATGACATGTGGGTAGCCCACCTATTAAAGAAGAAATTGTTAAGGATAAGGGAGGAAATTGTGAGAGTTGATTTGGAGAGTTGTAGTTGAACCAAAGCGAAGAAAAAAGAAAATTGGAATCCAACACAAACATTAAAGTTCTGTGGGATGATCATAGACACAGTAAATAGTTGCATTGTAGCGCCAGAGAAAAAAATAGCTTCAATGACGGCAAAGCTAGAAGCCTTGTTAAAGGCACCAACAGTTGCGGCAAGAGACCTGGCTTTGATGGTGGGCAAGGTAATAAGTTTGTCTAGAGCTTTTCTCCTGGGCCAAGTAAAGTGCATAGAGTTTTACAAACTCATAGATGCACAGAACCATTTTTCTTGGCAGTGGGACAACAGGGTACGGTTGTCAGCCGAGGACATCAGATGGTTGGTAGAAAATTTGAGAAGGTGGAATGGCCGGCTGGTCTAGAAGCTGTCTCAGATAAATTCGGTCTATGTGGATGCCTTGATAACTAGCTGGTGTGGGATTTTTTATGAACACAAGGCTTCAGGCAGTTGGGTGCACTCCTATACATCAAGGGTTATTGCGCAGTTAGAAGCATTGGCAGTGCTAAGAATGTTACAGTCGTTCAAAAACCTGTTAAAAAGAACTTGAGTGATCCTGTTTATTAACAACAGAGTTGCCCTGAAAACAGTTATAAAAGGAGGCCTGGAGATGTGGCAAAAGGACATTTTAAAACAAATTTAGAAGGTATGTGTAGAGAGCGACATGGTAATTTTTGACACACAGTGGGTACCTTTCAAGCTAAACCTGGCAGATTCCTTAACAAGGGTGTTCGATCTGGGAGATTGGGTATTGAGTTTGGTAGTTGTGGACCAGTTTAGCTTGGGAAAGTTCGAAGTGGACAGATTCACGGACCACTCGAATACAAAAGCTCAAAGGTTTAACAGTCGGTTTTTTTGCCCCAGGTCAGAAGTGGTGGATTGCTTTACCCAGAATTGGGCGAGACAAAAAATTACATGTGTCCTTCATTCGGGCAAATTCACAAGGCATTTTGCTACACAAAGGAATGTGGGGCTTGGATAGTGATTATAGTACTAGTGTGGGTTTCAGCCCCATTGTAGCCTTTAATTCTGAATTTGCCCAGAAGCGAAATCGATCTCCCTTCAATGAAGTATAATGTGATACTGGGTCCCTCAAGAAATTTGGAGCCTTGCAAAAACGATCAGTAGCATTTGAGGGTAGTGTTGCTGGATTGGTCCAGGAGTTGCTTGAAAGAGCAGAATGTCTAATGGACAATTCGGTTAGTGAGATGTATAAAAAATAGCTAGAGAAGGTGCGTGGTGTTTTTGAAGATTTTGCGCTCTGTATGGTTTTTTACCTTACTCTGCTTCTAGAGAGCTGTTAGCAGCCTTCCTGGCATGGCTGGAGGCCTCAGAAAGAGTAGCAAAAATATTGATTTGCTTGGTGGCAGTGGCAAGAGAGCATAAAGTTAGGAACCTGGAGGACCTAATAAAAGGTGGCTTGGTCCATTTAATTAGGGAAGGGTTCAAAAGAGTTGCAGCTCAAGCTAAAAATAGGCCTAGTTGGCCGAGAGACCCATTTCCGGTTACGGTAATTGGGTGTTATATGGAGTGTTTACTGTCAGGAATTAATATAGAATTTTGGGCGCGAGATTTGGCTCTAATAGTGTTGGGGTTAAAGTTAATGTGAAGACCAGTGGAGCTGTGTAATTTAAAAAGGTCAGATGTGCTTGAGAGAGATGGGAAGTTGTGGTTTAGGATTGCAAAGTCCAAAATGGATCAGTTGGGTAAGGGAAAGTTTATTCCTTTAGAAAGGACACAGAGTAAGCTCTGTCTGGTGAAATTGTTGAACATGTATTTAAGGGTAGAACCCAGTACTCCAGTAGAGGAGCCGTTGTTCTTGTCAAAAACAAGAGAGAAGCTGTCTGTAGCAGCTGTGTCAGTGATAGTTAAACGTTTTGCTGAAAATGCAGAACTATATAGGAGATATACTGCACACAGTTTAAGAATTGGGGGCGCAACGGCAACTATGCAAGGAGGGATAACAATGGAGCAAATTCAGTCAATCAGCGGCTGGGCGTCAGGGCAGTACAACTGTATATGAGAGCTGTTAGTATAGCTAAAATGGGTGCATCTAGGCTAATGGGTTTCAACCAGTAAGGACAAAGCAACCGTAAATAGCGATGCTTAGCAAGACCCATTGTTGTATTTCATTTTTTTCTTTGTTTTCACCCCTCGATGAGAGTTAAATTTAGCTGCCCGATACAATAGTATCAGAGCAGCATTTTGTCTTGAATCGATCACAGGATATTTTTAGTCATATGATGTATTATTGAAATCAGTGATTTATTGTTTGATCTATTGAGTATTTTTTTTCTTTGTTTTTATTAATTTATTATTAATTGACTTTCGTATGATTTTTAGTGACATAGTAACATAGTAATTTCGATTAGTAATCATTAGTAGTATTTAGGAGAACAGGATTTTTTTGTCAGATAGAGTAGTTTCTGTTTTTTCTGCTAACCTGACTTTGTCTGGTTTTTTCATTCCCATCCTACCTGGCCCTCGCACATGGCGACTCGATAGTTTCCAAGTCACTGAGTTTTTTAGTTGTAATTATGGTCTGTCGGATGATAGTCATAAATTTTTGGTCGTGGCCTGTCAAGATAACAGTCACAGGAGGTTTTTCTTAAGTTTTTTTGTATTGAAGAGCCCTGCCAGGATGACAGGCGTGAAAGAATTTTTTTATGTTTTTACATAAGGGTGGCCTATCGGACGACTGTCACTTTTTAGTTTTAGAAGTAGTTGTAGGGAAACTCAGGGTTTTTTCTAGATGGAATTTCTGGTTTTTTTCACCCTGCCCCGTACGATGAGCAAATAGTTTTAGATAGCTGTCAGTTTTTTAGTACTTTTAGTTTTCCCGATACTTTCGATTTCTGCACTGTTGTACATATGCACGTGAGCGAAAGTGACAGATAACCCATTGTTGTATTTCATTTTTTTTCTTTGTTTTCACCCTTGATGAGAGACAAATATAAAATTTTACTATGCTTCTATTTTTGTTTCCTATACTATACTCTTTATATAATAATCAAAGCAAATGCATTAAAGGAGACTACTATCATGAAGTTTTCTAGTACATATTTGGATCTAGTTTTCTTAGTTACCATTCATTTTGCTTATATACTCAATTGGCATATTATACAGGCTATTCTACCTTGCAGTCTGATGGTCTTATGGTCCTCAGGAAAGTGTTATCATTGATGAACGTTGAGTAATTCTAACGATTATTGTATACATTGGACCATGGCTAACTAGTCTTTTATTTAATGTCACGGCTGAGAAATTTTAAATATTTTAATGAGAAAATTTTTAGAGTACAATTTTTTTTAGCCTTTTAATAGTTAGGTTAGGGTTTAGAGTTGGTTTTTTTATTAAAAAAGTATAAGTGGATTTTGTAGGGCTTATATTTTTAAATTGATATCCCTAATATCCGCGATTTTTAATTTTATTTACGCAACATAGCTAATAAACTTTTAATTTAAAATTATTGAATATACTGTATTACCATATGGGGTCTTTGCCTTGAAAATGACCTTATGGTACATGATACCGTAAGGTCATTTTCAAGGCAAAGACCCCATATCTATACTATTTTTTCAATATATAATTACTAGTCGTGTAACAATAAAATATTTACTATGTTTTTTTTTTTTTTTTTTATTTACCTTTTGATTTGTTTTGTTTTTTTTTCATTTACTTTATTATACTGCACTAAAATTTTATAATCAATATTTTAAATTTTAATATCATAATACGGTATCTTTTAGGACAAGAGTCTAAAGAAAGTGAATTGTTAGGCTGTGGCTACCATGGTGACGATGGATATTCATTTTATTCTGGAGGCGATAAGCCGTATGAACCAATATATACTACTGGCGATATTATTGTATGCTATTTAAACTTCATAAACAAGATGGTAATTTATACAAAAATGGAATTAACTTGATAATTAACACTTATGAAGTTTTATATTTCAAACCAGATTGGGTAGAGAATTAATATTGATAATATATTTTAAGAAATTGCGTGCAATCTGCCTAATATCCTTGTGTTGGATTTAGATTACAAGGAGGGTTTGTAGAAGTGAATTTCGGCCATGAAGCATTCAAATATTCTGATAAATTTGTCAAAGTGTTTAATCATTTTTGGTTTATTTAAAATTTAACCTTGTCTATATGTCTATTTAAATTTACAGCAATGACTAATGAAGACATTTGTAAAAATCAAATAATGCGAATATCAAGAAAAGATTATTATAATATGGGTGGATACGAAAATATGTTGGTTAATTTAACAGGCGAATTAACAAAATCATTAGAAAAAAAAGTAAAACAACGTATTTGAATTAAATTATCAAGGAAACTATTTTTTATCATGAGTGAATACAATAAAGCATTGGAATTAAAATATCAAGAAGAAATTAATTATATGATGAAAAGATATAATTAATTAATTGTTGACTTGAAGAAATTGATAGAAATTAACTTAGAAGATACATGGGCGACGGAAATCTATAACTTAGTTAAAGAATTGTAAGCACAATGCATGTTTGTAAATTTTGGTTCTTAAAAGTTAGAAGTAAACCAATAACTCAACGCAATAGTCTGTAAGTTTTTTAATTGAATTTTTTACAGTAAATTACGATAAAAATCAATGATAATGACAATACAACTAACATAACTTTAACTATGTACTATGTGTTGCCATAATAGCGAGTAAGTTTTTTAATTAAATTTTTTATAAATAATACAAACTAAGAGTGAAATAGTGATGGCGCAAAAATTTGACGGTCCCGTGACTTTTACTCAAGATCAATGTGTAACATACAAATGCGAGGTAAAAAATAAAGACGAGAAAAAAACCAGAAATTGTAAAAAACTCAAATTCGCAGGGAATTGGTATTGTTATTATTGTAAACGTTTTCAGCACAAAATTCAGATATATTCGTTCTACTTTGTATTAATGCAACCATTAATTTTTAGACGAAAATTAGGATTGTTATTGAATTAATCACGGGACCGCCAAATTTTGCGCCATCACTTTTTCATTAACAAACTAACATTAACTACGTACTGTGTGTTATCACAATAGTGAGTAAGTTTTTTAATTGAATTTTTACAGTAAATTATGATAGTTATAAACAACAATGTTAATACAAACCAACATAACTTTAATTACATACACTGGCGATTATAAATAATGCAGCAAAAAAAATTTTTGCTTGGATCGCATTATCTTATGTAATTTTGAGTGTATCCTTTTACTTTTTTTATTTTACTTGTGAATAGTACCTTTTTTTTAATGCTAAGTTTTAATAGTTATTATTATTGCCAATGTAAAGATTAGCGGGCATGTGTCACAAATCACATGCTGCATTATTTTTGATCATTTTTGACAACGATCAGATAATTGATCATTGTACTACAAAGTTACATAAAAAATGGTAAATTCGTTATCATTTTTATAACTTTATATTATAATAGATCTTCAATAAAATTTCAGCAAAAAAAAATGCGTACAATTATAATTCAAGAGGGTAAAGATTTTTTTATTGCCGTAAGAACGGGTATGTTATAAAAATGGCAAGCTAGGCACATAATATTAGTTATTTCCCAGATCTTTTTATCAATAAAAGCGGCTGAGATATTGTGTTTGTAAAAATTAGTGAAGGTTTGTCATTTACTTGTCAGTAATGAGCCAACCCAAGTGACGTTTTTAATTTGGGCCACCTACCTTTACTATTGAATTGCTGTTGAAGTAAGGTTTTATTAAAAAAAAAGAAAGTTATTTAATAATACCAGTACGATCACATGAAATATGTGAGGGATAGTTTGAATAATGTTTTTTGCTGTGGCCTATGCTGATTTTCGCAGAATCCTTTTTTAGTAGGAGTAATGATTTTCATT